AAGACCATATCGGTACCGATAGCGTTGGTTTTCAACGTACAGATTTCATTGTCGATGCCATCTAACAGTTTTTATACATTGCTCTTCCAAAGTTTGGTTTAAAAAGTTGGATTGTCTCTCTTCAGCTTAAATACATTTATAAAAGAAAACAAAGCAAAAAAGAGACAAAATTAAGGCAACCAAAACAAATAAAAAAAAACAAACAATCAATCAAACAACGAGTCAACTTGTAATATGTAACATGAGTATGATGGGATTTGACAAACACTTTCCGTTCTTTTCTGGCTAATCGGAATTGATGTAGTACATAATTTGAATCGGAGAAATACTTTTTAGGGTATAACTGAATATTTTTTGCCTGATGATATGCCTTTAATACATTTCTCAGTTCTGCTTAGCTGGAAGGGAATGTAACCAGGGTGCAAATTTGTAACACAAGTGCAAATTTCAAATGGGCTCTTTCTGAGTTTGCAATTAGATGACTTTTGCATGATAGTCTTAAAAAAGGCTTCAATTTGATAGACGAAGATCTATTTCAACCAATTAATCGGACGTTATATGAAAATTAAAGCGCGTTTCGCTAGAATTTCTCTTATCTTAAAAATATCTCCCCTTTTTAACTCGTGAATTGCGCGTGCGCAAGAGCGAGTTGTAGGTATGGTGTGATGAATGGCGCTCGCTCGATTGGTCGATTCCTGTAAACTTTTTTCTATTTTAGGCTTTTGAATGCATTTGATAGTTTTTGGCGAATGATAAACAAACGAAATGTCAACCTTTGTTGCTGAGAATAGCGTTGGGGTGAAAAGAAGCCAATGATAATCTTGAAAGAGTAAAAAAGTATACGTTTTTCATTTGTGAATTAATTAAAGCTTGCCCAATCCCCGAATACACTTTTGTCTTTTGCAGCGTATATTTCATTTATGACATAAATACTTCTATTGTTAAATGTACACATCCAGGAAAATGATTATTGTGTCCGAAAAAGAAAAAAAAAGAAAATAAGAAGGGAAGGTAAGCCAAACTCAGAATGTACATCAGTACGTCGCATTTGAACCACTTACGTCGCTACCCTGAGAATGTCAGCTATCGCATTGCTTTTTACTATATGGCCACCGAGACACCTTGTTACCTTGAGGTGAAACTTTATTGACATATAAATTTTACATTCAAAACGCTGGTCTTTTGGTAATTTCAACCGCGGGCTCAAACGACTCGAGTCGCTGCTCGCCGATAGTCCGACTTTGAAGTGTCGCTCACGGCCAACTGCTCGTCTAGTGACTTGTTTGAGGCTTGTTTGGTATTCCTGGAGCTGTATCGACGTTGGAAAGTGGTTCACAAGTGGGAACTGCAGTGAAAGAAGCTCAAGCATAAGTTCAATCAATCGATATGCTGTTTCTTCAATGGTGTAACTCGCGCTGTACTGTTAAGTTTTGTTTGTTTCCAGATGCGTTGAATTAAGGATTTTTTTCATAAAAATGCGTCCTGGAGTGAGGAACAGGAAGTTCTAAAGATGGGGATTGATATCACTCAAAATGAGTGTGATTATCAGTTCTCAAAACAAGGAATATGCACTGACAGTGAGTGACAAATACTGCCTAAAACTGATAACAGAGGCCTTACCTTGTTAGGTGACTAAAGTTTCTCAGAGTAAGACCTATTTTTTTCAAAATGAGTAAGTAAAGATCTCAAAAGAAAGCACTTACTTCTCAAAGATTGTTAAATAATACATCATC